GGAGGTGCGAGGCGAGCGTGCGACCCGGGGCAGGCTGGGCTCTGCCGCCGGGGCGATGGACCCCAGAGCCCAGCTGGGTGGCCGAGGTACTCTGAACCCTGGCACGTCCTTGGGGGAGAGCCGGCAGTCTCAGTGAGGTGGATCACAACTTGACTTCTAAGGACCGGCCAAATTCACCGTTTTGCTTTCAGCAAATGTCCTACATGCGCTGCAGGAGGGGTCTGCCATCCCCGGCTCCACATCCCTCACAGGAGGAACCCTGCATCGGGCCGTTATGTAAATGTTTCCAATTGATTGAAAAAGTGGGTCATGTGTTAGCCAAACGCTCCTGGCTTTAAGATTTATCAGCATTATTAAATTAAACACGCTTCATGCTCCAGTGAGCGGGAAAGCTACATTGGCCTTTTCTTAATCATACTAGTGAAAGGTAAGTCTTTTATAGGGGGTTCCTAATCTCAGTGGAAACGCTGGGAACAATAGAGCCAAGGCATGCACCCCGGGCGCGTGCCTCCCCCCACAGCCCTCGTTCTTCACGGACAAAAGCCTGGGAAAAATTATCCCCCAAACGCCATTTTGAGCATTTCGGAGCATTCCCTGCCTGCAGAGACACCCATCTCAGAGCCTTCCTCTTCACCGTCCTATTCTGCCCAGCTCACGGCAGCTCTGAAATGGCTTCTTTGTCCATCTACTTGAAAGCCCTGAGGACACCATTACATCCAGTCCAGCGGATAGAGCAGATCCAGAGCCCGACTCCAACCCAGTGCAAAGCGGGTGCAGCCTGCAGAGGTCAAAGACGCCGCGTTAGGAGACAGAAGCGTCGAGTTTGGCCCCAAAATGGAAGTTGTGCAGCAAGCCAAGCTGCCAACCATCGTGCCTGGACAACCGCAGGAGAAGGACGACCACAGAAGGAGGACTGGAGCAGCATCCTCCCACGCGTGGCCATCACGGGGAGCAGCCAAATGTCTTTGGACCGCAGCGAGGGGAGTTCTGCAGAGTGGGGAGCACGGTGCCCAGCGCTCGGTACCCCAAAACAGCCGGGGAACATCTTTCCAAAGGAGGATCCTGTTGCAGAGTAAATAAACCTGCTGCCTGCTGGGAGAATGCTCGGAGGAGGTATCGTCGGTACTCAGAGCAATTTGGTTTTTCCCTCTTCCTTGGTTTTGAGATTAAATATATTAAATTCCGAGAAAATTCCTTAATCTATCAGGAATTCCCTGTGTCTGAAAAAGAAGCTCAGGCACCAGTGACCAAGGAGAAGAAGGAGAAGAGGAAGGAAAATGGAAACCCAGAACAGCAGAAAGACTCCTGTTCCCCACATGCAAACACACACACTCTGATTTTTCTCCTTTCCAGTTTTTTAGAGGTTGGAGCAATTGCCTAAGCTGATGCTCTTGCCTTTACGCTTGCTGATACCTCACAAATACTGACACTCTCCTAAAAGTTGAGCAAAATCTTCTCATTAGGGGAATTCTGAACACTGTGTATTAAATTAATTAAATACCGTGATCATCTCCCAGATGGGAGACAGCACGTGAATAGGGGGAGACCGAGCTCTGGGCCAGACTTAGCTCTCCAGCCTGGATTCTAAGTGGGAGGTGGAAAAGCGGATGCTGGGATCCTGCAGCCTCCTCCGGACAGGGGAGAGCAGGGGCTCGGGCAGAGCCAATGTCGCTGCAGGGACCGGGAGACACGGCTGGCTCCGCACTTGCCGATGCCAGCCCTCCTCCTCCTCCTTCTCCTCCTCCCATGCACCCAATCGGGCTCCCCGGGCACGTTAGCCACGCGCGAGCGAGTCCTGCGGCGCAGCTCCAGCAAACACTGCCTACGCCTGCTCTGCAGATGCCCCGCGGAGAGCTGAGGCATCTGCTGCCCGTACTGGGGGGGGCAGCTCCCCAGAGATGGTCCCCGCCGCCCCGGGACGTGGCAGCAGCCGCCAGCGTTTTGGAGAAGGTGGTTGAGGGTCTCATAAATGAGCTCCATCACAAAATTGCTCCTCTTGCTTCGGCACTAGCATTGCTACTGCCTGCAGACCCCAACTACAGGGGGAGGGTCTCTCCTATCTGCACTAACGTCACCCTGGTGCCTCTGGGATGGACGGTCCTGCCAGAAGGTAGATGCACAAGGCAGAGTTTCTTTGGTAGATCTCGTCACGGAATACTCTCATAAGCATTACAGAGATCAAATTTCATGGCTTTATCTAGGTATTTGTTTTGAGGGACAGCAATGTTTTGTTGAAGCTGTCCAAAAACAAACAGAGAGGACAACTCAGTGCAAAAACGTCCCACAACCCGCCCCCTCCCTGAAAGGTTTGGATGGAAAGTTCACAGGCACTGCCAAGCAAACTCAAAAAAGAAAGTGTCTGGCACCCCCCTTGTCCATCACACGGCCTCTAAAAAAAATCACGCTTTCTTGACAGGTTTGGTCAGTGAAGGCTGACACAACCCAACATCTTGTAGTCTTGTTGACCGAGAGCCCTTGCCAGCCTGTGCGGGTGAAGAGCAGGGTGGCCAGGGCACCGCTTTGTCTGGGGACGCTGTGCCACCTGCCCAGAGGACCAGCCCCGAGCGTCTTGGAGGTTGCTCAATGGCAATGCCACCCTGAAAAACATCCAAGACGCTTCCCAGGCTCTTTGGTGTTTCAGGAGCCCCACCAGCAGAAAGCCAGGTGTTAGACGACCACAAAGCTCCAGTGTCCTTCAGCACGCCGCAACATGCTATGGCACGGCCCAGATTTCCAGTGTGGTTGGCAGACTTTCATGTTGGGGATTAACATCTTGGCCAGAAAGTCCATCACTCAAGACGTTTTCCACTGCGAGGGAGATGTTTAAACATCTCCGACCCCTCAATACCTCCTTCACAAAAACTCAGGCCAGCATTTTCTGACCCTTTGAAAATGAAAGATGTGCTAAATGTAGAGAAAAGCTGGTGAAAC